ATATATATTTTAATAATGCTAGTGATTTTCGTAAAGATCGGGCATTATTTGACCCTAGCCCCCATACAAAGTCCACCTCAGAAAATGACTTGAATGTCCACAATTCACTTATAAACACTAGTATCACGATGAAATTTGGCACAAATGAGTTTTATATAAACATAATTCCCAACAACAAATTTTATAGGGATCGGACCAAGTTTTACCCTAGCCACCATATAAGCGGACCTTCCGATTTTGGCCTTTTAGCTCATAACTTTGTCAAATATACTACTATCTCTCCAAAAATCGGCACAACTAAGTTTGATACAATTATAAATAACACTGTCGATTTTTATAATGATCGGGCATTATTTGACTTGAATGTCCACAATTCACTTATAAACACTAATATCACGATGAAATTTGCCACAAATAGATTTTAAATAAACATAAATGTCGACATTAAATTTTATAAGGATCGGACCAATTTTTACCCTAGTCCCCATACAACTGGACCTACCGATTTGGGCCTTTTAGCTCATAACGACGATATATATACTACTATCTTCCCATAAATTGGCACAACTAAGTTTGATATAAATATAAATAACACTGTCATTTTTCGCCATGATCGGAAATAAAAAGTAGCCTATTGCCAGACTTACAGGAATGTGCTGTGAAAATTTAAAGAAAATCGGTTTAGCCGTTTAGTAGTCTATAACGTTCAAACATACAAACATATAAACACACAAACATATAAACAAACACACATTCATTTTTATATATGTATATAGATAATTCCCAATAATACATTTTATAAGGATCGGCTCAATTTCTGCCTTAGCCTCCGATTTCGGCCGTTTATCTTTTAACTGCGTCTAATATACTACTATCTATCCAAAAGTCGGCACAATGTGATGATGTTTGTAACACTCAAAAATATTTGTCCTTATTAAGCTATGTCCGTCTTTGTGACCGAGTAAACCTTGTGTGCACGCAACAGATCGCAATTTTGAATATAATTTGTTAAAATGGTTCACATACTATTCTCTGGATCCACTGACGATGGCTGTTGAAAATGATTGAAATCGGTCTTTCATTTCTCCTAGTCAGCTTACAACCGAACATGAACAGGCATTATTTGGAACCTATATAAGATTAACAGAAATGCTTCATTATTGAAATTAATCACATTTAATATTCGCAATTGGTGTAGGGTATCATATGGTCGGCCTCGCCCGACTATAATTTCTTACTTGTTTTTTGTATGACATAGTTTTACAACCCAAAAAACAATTCTAGAGGGGGGACGGGCAAATTTCGCAACTTCGTTTTTTTGGAGCACTCTAATGTATACATATACATATATTTCTGAGACTTTACAAACCTTATTTGAAAATATTTAAAGAAAATTGGTTTGGGTTGTTACTAAGGAGACGTTTAGGACAGGGCACTTTTCATTGTCGAAATAGAGCGGATATAAACGCCAATGTAAAACCGTTCACAAGTACCCTGGTTAAATCGTTCGGGGCTAGCTGACCTCTATGAGAACGGAGAACTGACCGGGAGAAACACTGGGTAACAAGGAATCCTGAGAAGGTTCTTAGCAAAATTTTTAACCGTCACGCCATAAAAATACCACTATTGGGATGAGTATTGTAAGAGCAATCAAGAGTTTTGAGGCATTTTTACATATGGAAGCGGAGTTGGACGTCTTTAAACATAGAGTGTAATATAAAACCATTACATGTTGTGGTGTATATATGTATGTATGTATATGTGGGGCTCTGAAAACTTTGCTGGATATTTCTCCTATTGAAACATACATAAAACTTTAAGATATGAGGCGGCACTTACAGCCGAACGGATCTTTCTTTCGTCGTTATGGGAGGTTTCAGTAAAAAGTTTTTTGTCCAGATCCAAATATCTTGGGAGCTATACTATTCCAGATATGTATGGCTGGTTTAAAAAATTGTTGGCCTTCAATACCAAACTAATCTTATCGATAGAGATATTTGTGGACAATTCAGCCCTCTAGCTGCTACTGTTCCACAGAATCTAAAATTTTTGAAAATAAACGGCATTTCTAAACAGCTGTTCGATTGGTATATTATTTAAGATGGGTATAACCAAGCAGATTTCAAAGATTTTTCTCCTTTATGAATGTTCAAATTCAAGTCGTTTATTTTTAGATCCAGAAACGAAATTGGAAATTTTCAAATGCCTATAACTCGGAAATTGTAAGAGATAAATAGAATACACAAACGCGTTTTTCAAGATATAGCACTTTCAGAAAATATAGCATTCGGTTGAAGAACAAAAATATGGCATGTGTTTAAAAGAAATAACAATAACATTTTCAAATCGTAAACTCGAATACTCTCCCAGTGGGTTTCATTTCCAAAACTTAAACTGGAAAAATTATTGCCCATTTCAAATTTTATATAAATCGGAGGAGCCCTTTGGAAATGCCCGATTTATATCCAAAAGCTGCATGTATAACTTCTTAAATATGAACAAGATAATTGTTACAAAGATTTTTTTAAATTTTATCATAAATATATTTTCACAAAATATTGGTAGACCTCTTGAACTAGAGATAAACTAAATGTATTTTTATAGACATTTTTAAGAACTATCTACATTTACATATATTATTGCAAAGATTTTGACCCGAGATAACCAACTTATGGATAATAACTTTGGAATTTAAACTCTCATGGATTCAATGTTACTTTCCACAACTGAATAAGGATGAGAGATGACTGATAAGAGTTGCAAACATTGTCTATTCGGACCATTTGATAAAGATCTAGGCAGTTCAAAAATTAAAATGGCTGAGACTTTTTTAATAGTTTTTAGACAGATAACATATTTATTTTTCTGCTATTTTAGGCCCATTCGTGTTTTTATTGTTAGCCAGGGGTATGTTTATTTTTGAATTCACACCACTTTTTATTTTATTGTTGCATGAATTTGATTTCTCTATTAAATAATTTCTTTCGATAAGATTTAAAGCAAATAAGGGAACACCACGTTTCCCACGTTATCATTTGTTAAAACTCGTACGTTCATTTTTACATTCGTACATACATTCATATGTACATGCAATGTGTACTTTATACTGTCGATACACTTTCATACTGATTAGAAATTTTATATAATTTAATAATTAGTAGCATTACATTTTTATATATATGTATGTACCTACATGTGTATATACTATTTATTTATTTTTGATATTATTTAGCTAATTTTAAGTTTTATTTAGGTGACAAGCCAATAATCATCCATAAATGATAATTGGCTTTTCAATTGCCACTTATTTTGCAACAGATTTAACTTATAAATTAACACTTTAAAAGTTGTCATTCAGATTTATCATGTATTTACAAGTATGTATGTATATGTATGCATAATTTTTAATCCAGCAGTTCAGTCGGGCTGTCCCGAAATACCACTTAGAGTTACCCCTAGCCTCCGACTGCCCAGGTTATTAGCTATTTTAACATTTGCTTGTCCTACGAGAAACCATAGATCACCCCATAGATCATGAGCTTAAGTTTGTTTTTTAAGTATCCACTCTCCCTCCTTTAAAAAGAGTATATCCGTGACGAAAGTCGAATAAGAGCCAACCGGGTGGTTAGACGATAGTGGAAATCACTGTCTTTTTCAAAAGCATTGAGTATTCGTCAAACTGCTGGGAAGTATTTTATGACTCACCAGATTTACTGGTAGTCTATGTGCCCCTTGTTCATAATGACAAGCACTTCCTTTAGGATCCAAAAGTAGCATAGAGAGATGGAACTTTAAAGCTTTTTTTATATCAGGGTAAAATGTCCATTTGTAATCGTAGTGTAAATTGACTTCCTGCTAGGACATGTAAATTCTGCAATCAGAAATGATAAGTACTAAAGTCAAAAATTTTATACAGCCTTCCTGTACAATATTTACTAAATATAAAAAGTTTATATATATGTATTTACAACTTATTCTTGCAGATAATTACACCAAAAAATACACCTGTCTAAAATAAATACGTACATACATACATATATTTATATTTAATTAACTGTTTTAATATAATCTTCGTTTATATTATGCTCATTACAATGTTTAATGAATACAGTTTGCCCTTCTTTATCAATATTTTTGAATAAAGTCTTTACAATGTATAAATACATACAAATTTAGAGTTAAAGTATTTTTTATACATTTCTAGGATAAAATCAATTATATTTTCGCAAAATGAAAGTAACCGACATTATTTTCAATTTTCGCTTTTTTTTATAAAAATCGATAATTTAATACTATTAGCATAATCTCCTGCATACACCGGGCCTGTTGTGCGCTTCTTTTCATGAAAAAAAATTTTTTCACTGAATGAATTATTTTTCAGTGTTCAGAAACTCAGTTTCCTGGACGTAATTCCTAAGAATCTTCCAAAAAGTGTTAGTCAGGTATGCTACTTCCGATGATATTTTCGCAAAATGAAAGTAAGCTGTCGTGTGCACCCTGTAGTAGAGCTACTGAATAGAAGAAAAAGAAACTTAAACAGGTGGCAACACAATGAAAAAGGGATTTTTTTTTCTTTTTTTTTGAGAAAGAAGAAGAGGAATAAAAACAAAAACAAATAGCTTTAGAAACAAATTTTATGTAGGCAAACAAATTGCTGAAAATTTGTTGAAGCCATATTGGTAACCGAGGTTTCTCGATGCCAAAAGAAAAAAATGTCGGTCCTTTTTGATTTTTGCTCCAAATAAAGAAGAAGGTGGAGTCGGTGGCCTCATCATAGAAAAAAAAAACTAATAGCATGTTTCTACATAACGTGCATAGTTCTATACGAACGAGTAGTATGCGAACGAGTACGTAATGAAATGAGTTTTTTTTAAACCATTCGTCCCTTTACGTTAAAATTTATGAGATTGTCAAATACAATTTTTCATTTTGTTTAATTTTTGGCATATATAAATAAATTATTAAAAAATAAAATAGTATAATTTATAAATATGTTTGGATCAATTGCCATAAGTCTGGATAGTAAGGATCGGAGATTTTAATGGTTGTTTAGGGGGTGATAGAGTTAGTATGTCTGTGATATTTGGGGTTTGTATAGAGGGCAAGGGATAACATTCTATGTTATTGTTCTGTGTGCATAAAATTTGTCTTTTGGATGTGTTTGATGTTGTTATTTCCCGTTGGTTAGTCGATATATCAAGTACTTTATTTGACGAAGGCACTCCGAAACAAAGTCCACCAGGTGCGGCAGCTGATGTGAGGTGGCATATCTTATCGATATCTAATTCCAAAGCCGTTAAATTATTTAAAGAACATGGGCCACCACCAGTTCCTTTAAGGCCTTTGTTGTTGTCTGCAATTTTCTTTTTCAACCTGCATTTTAAATCTTGCCATATCTAGGAAAGATCTATCATTAATTTATCAATTGATTTAATAACTATATATAATACCTTTTTCCACTCGGATCCATTTCTTTCCGGGGGTCCGTAAGCATTTATTCTATGTGCCACTTTGTCCCATGTTTCCTCCACTGCAGCTCGGCTAGTTCCAAATGTAGGGCTTCCTTTTGCGAGATTAGGAAATTCTTCCATTGAAGCAACTAACTTTTGGAACTGAATTACAGTGGTCTTTTTGACACTGCGAATTTCCAACATTGTTTTCAACTATTACCCCAAATATACATATATTTACCATTTTTTATTATCTGAATCCATGATTATTTCACTATTTAAAAACAAAACTCAATTCAAAATTATTCTAACGAATATTTTTTTCTAATCGTCTGTTTTTGACATACTTTACCTATCGTTTTGAAATATAAAAACCTAAAAAGACAATAACTTTTACGTTTTCACTCAATAAAATATATAGAAACCTAAATCAAATTTTTACACTCATTAGGATGAAATTTTTGAGTGACTCGTTATGTAGAAACATGCTATAAATTTTTGATTTTATTTTTTTTATAAATTAAATAAATTTTATTTAAGAAAAAAAAAGTTAATTAAACTTAAAACTAGACTTAAAGCTAAACTTGAAACTGAATTTTGAATTAAACAAGGGCAAAACAACAAACCTGCAAAGCCACTTCAACACGACTCCATCCAACGAGGGAGAAGCTGCTTTCCAGCACCACCACGCCTGGGGTGCTCTGGTATCATTTTGGTTTTCCGACTAAGTTTAGTGATTTTACCTGAACGACTAGACGGACTTCTGACGATTCCTTTTATTTAAAGATAAAAAATAAAACAAACAAAAAATTATATAATTGAAACAATTTTATAAATAAGGGTTCTTACCTCGTCTTTTATACGTCATTTCCATTCCGTGTGGAAGACTAATTGATGCCCACACGTGCGCGTTGTTAGGATAGAGCTCTAGCCTTTAATAGTAGTCCCATCGCGGTGTTTAATCCATAGGTTTCCCGAAAATTTATAAGTAGTTTCCTATAAAAGAAAAGAGAAAATTAAGTAAAAGGAATTTGGTGGAATAGATTTTGTATATACGTACGTGAATACCTATACATCCGGAACCATACGGACGGACAGGAAAGCCTCATCCGCCATAAACTTCCATCACGATAATTGCCTCCCGTAAACCAGATAGTTGCCGCAGAAAAAGAATTGCCAGATCCGGTTTATCCCCAAGCGAGATTATGAACCTTTGAAACGTAAACATAAATTTGAAAGCATAAATTCTAAATTTAAAATCTAAACCCAAAACTAAATTTAAAGTCTAAATCTAAAACTAAATTTAAATTCTAAATTTTAAACCTAAATCTAAACCTAGAACTAAAACTAAATTTAAATCCAAAATTTAAAGCCTAAATCTAAAACTAAAGTTAAATTTAAATTCTAAATTTAAATCCTAAATCTAAAACTAAAACTAAATCTCAATTTTAAAACCTAAATGTAAAACTTAATCTAAAACTAAATCTAAATTCAAAATATTAAAACTTAAAACTAAATCTAAACTAAATTTTAAATCAAAACCTAGTATTGTTAAATACTGTTTGGAGTAATTTTGTTTCAATAAAACTAAATCATATTATAATGTTTGACTGAAAATTTCGAATTTGTTATCATTTAAAATGATTGGATAAGACTTAGTAAACTCGGCGGTAAGTAGGGAAAGTAAATGTTTGCGGGGAAAGTCTGGGACATCCCCACGATAGGATGTCATGGCGGGATGCAATCCCGAGTGGGAGGGTGATCTCTTGGCATCAACACCAGCCAGGAGGAAATTGTTCGTTAGGTATAGTATGTAGGGAGTTGGAGACACCACTTCGAGCCCCTTGACTTTTATTTATTTTATAGCTGGTATGATTTTTTGTGTTTAGTGTGTTTCGGTACAGATTGCTCGCAATACGCGGGCATACCAGCGCCGCTGGCAATCTGGCCACTTCGTCTTTCCTGTTTGTTTTGTCTTCTGTTTGGTCATCGACCAAACAGATGTTTTAATCAAAACCACACATACACACTACAAAGCGACATGATTTTCAGTTTTCGTTTTTTTTTTTTTTTATAAAAATCGATAATTTAAGACTATTATAATCTCCGGAATAGGTTAGGTTATGTTGATAGGAGGATGTATACTACATCAAATCTGAAGAAATACACCGGGCCTGTTGTACGCTCCTTTTCATGAAAAAAATCACTGAATGAATTATGTTTCAGTATTCAGAAACTCAGTTTTCTGGACGTAATTCCTAAGAATCTTCCAATGAAGGATGTAAGGTTTACATATGGATACCAGGCCACCCGGGAGTAGTCGGCAAGGGCCAGTTTAATAGCTTTAAAGGGAAGGGAGTTCTAGGTAGTTAGCCTGACAAACGCAAAACCATTCGACGCAACAAAAGCTGAACTAAAAATTTGGGTAAGAGAATCCCATATAGGCTCTTGGAATAATGAACCACAAAGATCCTATGGAGGCCCTGATGAGAACAAGACGAGAAATCTCCTCAAAATAAGCAAGTCTGAAGTTAGTATGATGGTACGTATTCTAAGTGGACACAGGATTACGAGCACATCTATACAATATTGACAGCGCGCATTCAGACAAATGTAGAGCATGTGGAGAGGACAGTGAAACTCTGGAGCACTTTCTTTGCCACTGTCAGGCATTCGTCGAAGTTAGATCCAAGTATCTTAAATGTTATTCAGGAAATAACATTCCTGACTAACACTGATTGGAAAATTCTTAGGAATTACGTCCAGGAAACTGAGTTTCTGAACATTAAAAAATAATATACTCAGTGAACTATTTTCTTTTCATGAAAAGGAGCGCACAACAGGCCCGATAGTGGCCTAGGTGTGTTTCTTCCGATTTGATGTACTATACATCCTCCTACGAACCTAATACTATGTTTCCACTGGCTTGAGATCTACTAGATTTGCTTAAACCTCTTCAAGGTGTTTCCACTGAGCTTACTCGTTTTTGATATTCGAATTTTCGAACAAATCCCGTCATTTTATTTTGATATAACGACAGTAATGTTAATTTCTTTCAAATCTAAACATTAAAAACACAAAATTACAGTTGTAAAAGTATAAATTTGTTTAGTAAATGCCACTAATTTTAAAATTATAATTTTTTTTGTTTTTATTTTATAACCTAACCTAACTATCTATAAGGGTCGAAAAATTATATTTCGGAAATTACAAACGGAATGACAAACTTTTATATGCCCTTCTCCTTCCCCCCCGACATGTTACCTTTAAAATTTTCGGCTAAACGACTGATGCTCGGTGGAATCTATAATTCGAGATAAGGTCGGTGCTATTGCTGAAGTCAATAGATACCCAACAGAAGTGAGGAGAGGATGAACTTAGCGTTGGAAATGAGTTGGTGTTTAGTGTAAGGGTTATTTGATGGATTCGTGTTGCGGTCTTCCGAATAACGTCTCTAGTTGCTGTTGCCGACTAAACAGATTCCGTAACACCAAGAAATATTCATCTGAGACCCAAGAAAGTATATATATTCCGGGACCTTATCAAATTCTGAGTCGATTTAGCTATGTCCGTCTGTCTGCCTAAAACACGCTCACGTTAAAACTAAGCAAAAGAAATAAACTAAATTCACCGAAAATATTCAGTATCCTAAGCAGTTTGGTGTTGAAAATCAGCAAAATCGGTTCACAACGTTAAAAGTTATGAGTAAAAATTTCAGACTGCCTCGAAAAAATTACCGGTTTTTTCGTAATTCTTAAGTCGTTTTCTCAGAAAATACAAAGATAATTCGATGAATTTTGTCACACATTATTTTTTTCACCCAGGGATCAATTATGTTGAAAATCAAAATAATGGATCCAAAATTTCCCATAACCCCCATACAAAGGTATATATTCCCGGAAATTAGTTTATCATTAATAACCTCCTAAAATATATCGATATCAACACAAAAGATCCACTTTCAAAAATCGCCTAAACGCAAGTATTTCATTGATAAATAAAGCTATTGTGATAAAATTCGAGTTGAATATGTTTTGTGTGCATACAAATTATTTTACCAAATTTTTTACGGATCGGTCCATTATTGGTTATAGCTCATATATTAGCACATATTTCATTGTTAAATAAAAGATAGCTTTATTCGACACAAATATGTTTTGTCAAAATATGAAACAGTCTACGAAATTTTTTCCAGATAGGGTCATAATTGGTCATATCTCCCATATAAGGTCCACTTCGGAAATCACTTAAACGCATATATTTCATTGAATTCTAAAGCTATAGGGATAAAATTCGACTTAAATATGTTTTGTGTACATATAAATTATTCGACCAAATTTTATACGGATCTGTCCATTATTGTTCAAGTCCCACTTCCGAAAACCACTTAAAGGCATATATTTAAATTAAGTTATCTTTATAAAATTCAACACAAATATGTTTGTCTTTATATAAGTTATGATAGGCTCCCATATCAGGTCTACTTAAGAAAATCTCTTAAACACATATATATCTTTGAATAATAAAGCTATCGGGACAAGTACGACAATGAAATATGTTTTGTGAGCATATAAACATTCTACCAAATTTTTTCCGGATCGGTCCATATTTGGTAATAGCTCCTATATAAGGTCCACTTCAAAAAATCACTTAAACGCACATATTTCATTATCAAATAAAGATATCTTGATAAAATTCTACGAAATTTTTCCTGATAGGCCCGTAATTGGTCATAGCTCCTATATAAAGTCCACTTCCGAAAATCACTTAAAATTCGACAAGATTTTTTTTTTTTTTTGATATTCATTATCGGTCCGTAATTGGTCACAAATCCCATATAAGGACCATTTCCGAAAATTACTTAAATGCACATTGACAATCAAAGTTATCGGGATAAAATTCTACTTAAATGTGTATTTTGTGTATATAAATCATTCTACGTAATATTTTTCCGGATCGGACAATAAGTTGTCTTAGCCCCCATATAAGGTTTACTCTGCAAATCACTTAATACCACGTAATTCGTTATTAAATGATTATATCCGGATAAAATTCGACATGAGTATGTTCTTTGTATAGATAAATCATTCTATAAAAATGTTTTCGAACTGGCCTATTAATATAAATTTTTCTGGACCTAATCAAAATTAGTTCAACATATGCATAAATGTTGGTAGCTTGCTGGTGGAGGGTATTTAAGATTCGACATAGCCGAATGTAGCACGCTTACTTGTTCTTACATTTTTGTGAGATAAAAAATTTTATATTTGGGCTTTTGTATTAAATGTTTCTATTGCCATAATTAATGTTAATATTATTTAAGTCAAATTAGTTGTATTCTATAATACTACAATTTCACTTCTGAATAACTTCCTAAAAAAGAGCTTTAAAATTACTTCTTTTCAGAAGTAGTGAATTTGGAACCTAATAAAAAGGACATCCCTCCTATGACAAGCCTGTGTTAAAATCAAAACTTTCTAAAAAGTGGTATCACAAAAAGCGATGCCTAATACATACATACGTACATACATACATACATACATACATACAGACAGACAGACATACAGACAGACAGAAATACATACAGACAGACAGACAGACAGAACAGACAGACACAGACAGACAGCAGACATACAGACAGACAGACAGACAGACAGACATACAGACAGACTACAGACAGACAGACAGACAGACAGACAGACACAGACATACGACAGACATACAGACAGACAGACAAAGACAGACAGACAGACAGACAGACATAAAGACAGACAGAGACAGACAGACAGACAGACAGACATACAGACAGACAGAAGACAGACAGACAGACAGACAGACAGACATACAGACATAAGACACAGACATACATACATACATACAGACAGACATACAGACAGACAGACAGACAGACATACAGACAGACATACAGACATACAGACAGACAGACATACATACATACAGACATACATACATACAGACAGACATACACATACATACAATAACATACATACAGACATACATACAGACATACATACATACATACAACATACATACATACATACATACATACATACATACATACATACATACATACATACATACATACATACATACATACATACATATGATTCTAGAATGCTTACACAATTATCATTTCTGGAGAAATTTTGAGGATTAACTATTATAATAGTTAATAGTTAATTCAATTTATATTTATTATTATAATTTGAAACTTTACACAATTTTCATACATATACATATTTACATATTTACAATTCACTGTATACGGGGGAATCTTCTAGGGAAAATCCACTATCACAATTAACAGCTACACTTACTATTTAATTATTTATTACTACTTTTCTTTTTAACTAACATTTTTAATTGTGTTAGATAAAATTTCCCATAAATTATAACTTGTTTATGTGATTTTTTGGAGAATGCAAATGCTATTGCTAAGTAGTACTTCAATACTTTTCCATATCCTAAAGATATTCTTAATTTTAAAATAACGGAGACGTTAAAGCAACTAAATACCAGTAGTTCACTTAAGGTCAAAAATGGATTTATTTTCTTAATTGTTATATCGCGTAAAAAACGTACTATAACCACATCTCGATTCAAGAGCAGACCAGTTAACATAAAATATTATACTATAGGTGACATTACAAAATATTTAGTTGCAAATATACATATAAATGTATATAAGGCAATTAATTTTGTATGGAATAGTCTTTTAGAGTGCAGGGTACCATATGGTGGGTCATGTTCGGATTTATTTTCTTACTTTTTATATCCATTATCAAAAAACGCTACGAAATATTCAATTCAACAACTTTTTAAATAATTTTCACTAATGACAGTGTGCTGATTCCATATATAGAAATAAAAAAGTAATACCACCTACCAATTATCCACATTTTTATATTTTCTTTCTGCTGACTGTACACTTGTGTCCCAAATATAAAATTCTGTAATTTTACAGTCTCACATATTAGCGGAACTTGCTATTTGAAGTTTGAGGATTTCGGAGAAAACAATTTTTTGTTAAAATTTTTGAAAAACAGGCTTTATTCTTTACTGTTATCCATTTCATATAAAACTTTTTCAGAATATACAATTTAAGATAATAGGAAACATAGATCTAAAGTTTTAGTAAAATCGAATAATGTTAGCCCATAAACTGTGAAGGTCAAACTCAAGCTATGCAATATTGGAAAATTTTCTTGAATAATATTTTGTTTAAATGAAACTCAGTATAAATATACATATAATGAAGGCCCGTATTTATGATGACATCGTAAAAATCGAAATTAACCCTTAATCGTATATATAAAAAATCAGATATCAGATTTGGGATTCGGAGATTAAAATCTGTCGGATTGGTTTCAAAAGTTTGTACATTTTGTTGGCCTATGTTATCATTTAAAAATCCAATTATTTCTATTAATTTAATCCATTTTATTAATAATTAGAAATTTGTAACCGCTTATGGCATAGATGCTAGGTCATTGAAAATTGTTTAATATAAAAATTATTTCTTAAGATTAGCATATTTATTGAGATTATCATATAATACGTCTAATTAAATTGACATTTTTAAAATAACGTGCTGAAAAAGCGAAATCTGTACTGAGTAATACACCGTTAATCAAATAAATACACATACTAAAATTATAAATATTATTGTATTTTTGTACTCACACTTACTTGTATAGTAGCTGTTAGTTAATCGGACTAAGTAATCAAGAAGGTTTTTTTCACTAAAATCGATCAGTTGTTATAGAGCGACCGACGGGTAATGAACTCTCAGTTTAAACAAGAAAATATTAATCAGGCATTAAATAAATAGAAAAAAATACAAATAACTTACTACCGATACATGTCGCAATATGCAGTTTTATTCTAAATGTCCATAAATTAAAAGTTAAATTTAAATCTTTAAAAACCGGTCACAAATATTGCAATCTATAAAATTCGTACATTAACATGGAGTCCACTATAAAAAGTATTTCAGCTACTGTCGATTTGAGTACGCCAGAACATAACGCTGATAAAGATGAATTTACGCTGGACTCTATACTCATACGTATTGGACAATTTGGAAAATTTCAATTGTTCATTTTTATTCTCATTTGCATACCCATGATGTTTAATGCAATATTTTCAGTGACTTATGTTTTCACAGCCAGTACAGTGACTTATAGGTAAAATAATAAATACATTCTCTAAAATGTGTCACCTTCTATATAAAGACAAATCGGCTGAACAGAAAAACTTCTTATTAGATGTAACATTACAGAATGCGATACAGCTAACAGCCGTTACGATGAACACTGGACATTATTTTCAATACCCAATAAAACTAATAGTTTGGATCAATGTAAACGCTACGCGAGCAGATTACCAGAAAACATCACAACTGGAATACCTAAAGTCTACGGAATTAATGAACAAGGTGCTATTTATTATGACGACGGTGCTATTTATGGTGATACATGTAAGGCTGATAATTTTGATCAAAATCAAATCGAAATATGTAGCAGCGATAATTTAATTTTTCGCGATAATGAAGTCACAATTTCAAATGACGTGAGTATATTCATCGTACGAGGCTTTAATCAGCCAAAGTCTACTGTTTGTCTGTCAAATGTGTGTTAATTTTTTTTTCAGTTTTGTTGATAAACATCTTTAGTTTTTTTGTTTCATTCAACGAATTTATTTATACAAGTACAATTTAATTGATAAAAATAATTTGACAACTACAAAAATATGTACAATCTAATTTGTACAATATAAGGTGAACAAAAAATACACATTTCCGATCGTCTGTTTAAGTCAATTAGTGTGTCAATTGATTTGTTTAATTTGTTAAAATGTGATTAAAATTTTATTAACTCATGCAAATACCTAAAGCGATAATTTACGACCGGTAAAATTCACATATGAATATGTTTATACATTAGTGTGGCCCCAAAATTTTTGTTTTGATATTGACATTTGTTGAGCTGGAACAAAGTATAAAAGGTCTTTTTTGAGGAAGAAACCGTGTCATATGAAAGGTCTTTGAATGTTGCCTTCCATATTAAATCAAAGATTTACTATTAATAATTACAAAATTATTAAAAAAATTTTAATTTTTCGGAAAATTGTTGGTTTTTAAAATATTTACTTTTTATTGTATTTCTTTTTATCAACAATATTTTAAATTCATAAAAAGTTTTGAAAATACAAAAATAACAAACCCAGAGTATACTTTTCTAAAGGATTGAGATGCGCCGAATTTTACTCCATCACATCTGGGATTCGAGATATCGTGTCCTGAAGTTTGAAAAAAAAACAAATTTTTGGCCTTATTTGAAACGTTATATGTATCAGCGCCAAATCTAATGTATATGTTGTTTGCCATTTGAAAATCCATTCAGAATCAGTGCGCCTCAATCCTTTAAAAAGTATAACTTGGTCTCAGGGTTTCGACTTTTTTAAAATTTTGTCGGCCTGTAATATATGTACATTGTACATATATGGAAAGTGAGTGAAATAAAATAAAACAAGTTAGAGTGCTATATTCGGATATGTCGAATCTTAAATACCCCCCACCTGTAAGCTTCTCGAAACCCATCTAAATAATTTCAGAGTTTTAATAAATTTTATCTTAAATGTGAGCTTTGACCAATTATGAGGAATTTTAGTCCGGTATCTTTATCTATCAATGAAATTGAAAGTAGATCTTATATGGGAGCTATGACCAATTATGGGTCGATCAGGAAAATATTTCTCAGGGTAGTTTATATCTACTTTAAACAGATTCATTACGAAATTTGTACCGATATCTTAATTCAGTAATGAAATTATATGGTAGCTATGACCAATTAAAGACCGATCCGGAAAAAATTTGGTAGATAATACCAATAATAATAGAATATATAACATGGTTTTCGGAAGTGGACCTTATATGGGATCTGTGACCAAATATGTACCGATCTCAAAAAGTTTCGATAAGCCCATTTTCGAAAATATGTACCTTTGTATGGGGCTATGGGAAATTTTGGACCGATTGTTTTGAGTTTGAAAATAATTAATCCCTGGGCAAAATGAATAACGTGTGATAGAATTCATTGAATAATCTTCGGATGTTTCTGAAAAAACTACTTGAGAATTAGGAAAAAAAAAATTATTTTTTTCGAGGTAGTCTGAAATTGTGAACCGATTTTGCTGATTTTCAATACCAAACTGCTCAGCCCAATAATGAATATTTTCGGGGAACTTGGACCACCATTGAAAATGTTAAATACATCACTTATAAATTAAGGTGACGATATACTATTATTTTATAACCCTATTTTACTTCTTTCTAGTTTGACATTTTTTGTTCGGATGAATGGAAACTGTCATTAGTCGGTACGCTAAACAACATTGGACAATTTGTTGGCATTCCCCTTGGAGGCTTCATTTCAGACAGGTAAATTGTTCTTTATTCTTCATTATGTTTCATTAAAATCGGCTGAAAACTTAACACCGCGATCATAAAAAATAAAAAATTTCCGATTTTATTTTATTTCGAATTTAAAAAAAAAATTAATAAATTTTTATATAAAATTTTTGTTTTCTATTATCTCGAATATAATATTCTGAAAAGGATTTATTAAAAAATGTATATTAAGGTCCATTATTATAACTTGACAATAACTAAAGGTGGGATTTTATAATGCAGATAACTCGTTTCTAGTTATTATAATTGTACTTTAGTTAAAGGATATAGATAGGTATTAAAATTTAAAATATAATTTTAATAGTGGTAAAATTTTAAATCAGAGATTTTATATACATATTATGATCCTTCAATAAAAACAATAAATAATAATAAAATAACTTTTAGATATGGACGTGTTACTGCACTTGCCTTAGGCGGATTCGTTGCGGCCATTTTAGGAATAATTCGCTCGTTTGCAACATCGTATACATTTTTCGTGATATTCGAATTTTTGGATAGCATGGCTTCAAGTCCCCTATATTCAATATGCTTTATTGTGGGAATAGAACTAGTAGGACCTAAGAGACGTGTTATTGCATGCAGTTTAATTACGATTTTTTATGCCATTGGAGAAATGTTATTGGCCCTGGTAGCAAAGTACTATCCAAACTGGAGAATATTGTTGCGCATCATGTATGTACCAGCCTTATCATTAGTCGTATACTTTTGGATATTGCCAGAGAGTGTCAGGTGGCTTCTAAGTCAAAGTAGAGAGGATGAAGCTAAGAACATTTTAAAACGAGCGGCAAAAGTTAATAAGCGTAAACTGTCGGATCACTCATTGGACAAGTTGGTTTTAGCAAATCGTGAAAAACTTCAAATTGTTTCGGAGGGGAAATTTCCAATAAAACAAGCTTTCTCGAAACTATTTTGGCGCATAACAAATTGTTCTTTTTGTTGGATTGTAAATGTTTTGGTGTACTATGGACTGAGCTTAAATGCGGTTCTATTAGATGGAAATAAGTACAACAATTTCATTTATATAGCCATGGTAGAAATTCCAGGATTTTTGTTACCGCTGCTAATTATGGATCGATTTGGCAGAAGATACTCCCTGTTTGGATGCATGTTCATTAGTGGATTGTGCTGTTTGGCAACAATATTTATGCCGCCTGGTAAATTGAAATTTAAAAAAGTTCATTTAATATGATAATTAATCGAATTAATTTACAGACTCTCACAATTTACAATTATCTTTGTTTTTGATCGGCAAATTAACAATTACGGCCAGTTTTCAAGTTTTATACTTCTTCACCTCAGAAATATTCCCCACAAATCTACGCAATAGCTTATTGTCATTTTGTTCCATGATGGGAAGATTTGGTTCAATGTTGGCGCCGCAAACTCCCCTTCTTGTAAGCCCTATTTATTTTTTAATTTGTCGTTTTTATATCATTATTTCTAACTTTTCATACCAGGCAAAATACTATGAAAATGCGCCGGCAATATTATTTGCTGCAACAGCTATCATTAGTGCTTTCTTAACATTGCTGTTCCCAGAAACGACGAATTTAATTCTTCCAACAACAATGAAGGAGGCAGATAACATAGGATCTTCAAAGGAGAAAAAGTCTTCTAATAATGCCACTAGTATTTCATAGTAGTAGAAAATTAAATTTTTTAATTATAAATATAGTTTTAATACCACTTATAGAATATTCTTAGTAAAATATACTCTTACACGTATGGTCCTACATAATCACAATCGATAATAATAAATTTCATTTATGTAAAATCGTAATTTCCCACGCAATGTTTTCTGAAAATACATATGGTAAATTCCATAAAAAGGTAAACTACGACTGTCTAACCTTTACCAGTGCCTCAGGTGGGAATCGAACAGCGTGACCTCCGGTCTGCCAAACTAGAACAGTAACCACTAACCTACCGGAGGCCACAAAAGGAAATTTCCGTCCATTATTACACCTACACCTGGATCTGAAAATATTACTTTAAAGCCCATAATTATGTTAATTATAATACTATCCCTTCAAAAATATCCAAATTTAATAATTTATATAAGCATAAATCTAACGATTTGCATAATTATTTTACCCTTAGTCCCGACACTTACAGCGTCGGAGAATATTAAAGCAGGAACTTTTACTTGTTTGCCGAGACGAACATTCTCAAAACCACAACACAAACAATAAGTAAATGAACTAAACTTTAAATTGTACGGTATCAGTTTCACAAACATTCTCGATTTAATTTTTCACTAATTTGAATCCTTTCTTTTTATATCAAACCCATTGAAATTTTATACATATATGGATTTTTTTCATGAAATCAAATTTAAATCATGAAATTTTAAGTAAATTTTTATCTATAATTTGTATTAAAACTCAAAATTTTAACGTGAAAAATGTACTGATTGTCTTTATTATTACGACTATCTATATATCTTACGAAACATAATGGGCAAAGACTTTAATTACTTTAATTCTTGAAGTATTTAGTGTAATAATCTTCGTAGAAAGTGTAATCGAAGGAACCGTAGTTCTTGTAGTCGTGTTCCATGTAGGTTTCAAAGGTATCATGGTGGAAAATCTTGACATCCTTGAAGAACATGTTGGGAACGAAGAATTCGTATTCATCGATGACACGATCGAATGGATAGTAGAAAGGCTTGTTGTCAACGTAACGAGCACCAGAACCGATACCACAAGAGTATGTGTTGTCAAAAGTGGAGAATTGTTCGTGATTAGCCTCGTAGGGAGTGACCATGAAGAACATTTGCATGGGCATACCCTTTTCCCAACCACGGGGTAATATGAGACGATCGGGGAAGCCACAGTGAGGTTCACTGATGTCTAATGGGAATTCATATTTACCATCGAATGCCATCATTACATAGTGATACAATTCAGTGTAGGTAGTACGGTCCTTGGTTGTCCAGTAGAAGTCATTGGAGCTACGCTTGAAGAAGTTCTTGCCGGCAGTTAACTCATAAACAAAGTTATCAAGTTCGAAGAAGTTTTCACGGTTTTCAGTCAAAGATATGACGCGTCCGAATTCATCGTATTTAGGACCAATGAAGGTACGAATTACAGCCTTTTGTGCCTTGTCGGATTCAATTGTGAATTCAAAGTTGAATGGTTTGTGGTTCAAACGCATTTGACGAGCCATGAGGGACTTGTCCCACACAAATTTACCATCAACAAAGTGCATCTTGTCATTCAACAAATTGGTAACATCAAAGTCTACTAAATCGAAGTAGGTGACCAAGTCAGTAACATGGACATCCTTAATGTGAACACCAGGGAACATGAGTTGTTCCTTAGTGTAAGGTTCGAGGTAGTATTTGAAGTGGAAGAAGGCGTCGGCGATCTTGCTGTGGAACATGTAGAACATGGGATCACGCAACATGGTTTCGAAGTTAAGGAGAACATTGGGGTAGACCTCGTAGTCATGGTAATCAACTTCACTGAAGTACATGTGAGAGAGCATGTACCAGTAGCTGAAGAAGTATTTGTCGAAAGTATCGATGTTGCCTTGCAACAAGTTTCCAAGGTATTCAATTGATTCGGGTTTACGCAAGTCAACAATAGTACCATCGACCATCTTATAATAACCTAAATCAATGACTTCGTAGATGCGCTTGAACATACCGTAAACTTTGTTGAACATATCAAAGTTAGCGTAGGTTTGAACTTCCCAGTAGTTCTTACGGTAGCTGAAACCAACACCGTTGTAGTTAATCAATTGTGGGTCGTAGCCGTATTCGATTTCGTGGAACCAGAAGAATTCGGGAATTTCACCGAAGCCATGGGACAAACGTTCCATATAGTAGCGAGAAATCAATTGTTGGACATTGTACATCCAGTATTCGCCACGACGGTCTTTGTTCAAACCGAAAGTCTTGCCGTCTAAGAAGAAGGCGTAGTCCATGTTCAAATAGTACCAGTAAGCGTTCCAACCCAAATCTTCAGTGAAGTAGGAAAGGCTGGACTCTTCGTTGTAAAATTCAATATCACGAGTATAATCGACGGGCATGTACCACATCTTGAGGTCTTGCAACATCAAGTTCCACTTAGGGTCTTGGTTGAATTCGTAGATGTTTTCACGGAGCATATATTTTTCTTCAGCATACCAGTGTTGGCCAAGACCCATCAATTTCCACCATTGCCACATCTTCCAGTCCTTCATGTATACATAGTCACCGTGGTTGAAATATTTGTGGTTCTTGTAGTATACATCATACAATTCCTTTTCGTACATAATGTACTTGCTCCAAACATCGTAGTCGAACTTTTCAGCTTCGTATACGAATTTACTGTTGAAGAAGTATTGTGGGAAAATTTCGTAGATGGATGGCAAAATCAAACCATGGAAGTCATCGCGATGAATGACAGCCAAAGTAAGAGCATAAACAAACATGCCTTCGTTAACATGCATACGGGCCCAGCATACATTATGGAGGAAAGTTTCCCAATCCTTGGCATAGTAGAAGAAGTTGAAGAGACCCCAAGCTTGTTTGTGGTGAGTCTTGACAAGAGCGCCAAAGAATTCACCTTTGGGCAAAAGAGCTCCCATCTTATAGGATTCCCAGAATTTCTCCATATGGAAGTCATAGTGCTAAAAACAGATAAAAAATTTATGTTTTTTACATTACTATATACATAATATGAATAGACTTACAGTATAGTAGGACTTGTCAACAATAAATTTATCACCGAGTTTAATGTATTCCTCAAACATTAATGGGTCCTCAACACGGTAAACAATTTCGAACAAGAACTTCTGTTTCTCCAAAAAATCCTTGTCGGCGACTTTGACTTCATGGGTACTGTGGAAGCTCGTCGCAGCCACTAAGCCTATGCAGGCCAATAATGCTATGGTTAATTTCATTTTGAAAACTGCTCCGGATTAGACACGTTATTCCAATACCTAAAGACTGTTGAGCATTGCATTTCACGCACCTGTTTAAATACAATTCTATTATCTTCAATTCCAGATGCAGTTGAATATTTTAATCAACTTTTGACCCAATATAAGAAGATACATATACATAAATGAATGTATGTACAATACAAGAATACCACATACATATGTATGTATGTATACTACATAAGCAAGTTAGAAACATGATAAGCTTTTCTCACTGTCCCTATTTATTTTACGTACTAGTGTTTATTATTTGATTTTTTACTGTTGATACATTTTATTATTTCTATGTTTTCGCAAGTTAAATTTATTATTTTTATAATTAAACATATATAATAAATATGTATGTATAATAACAATTCACCTTGATATGTTGTTTTATTCTATTTCTACCTGTTCCATCATAATAAATAATAGGTCTGCGCTCGTATTACACAAAAGTCTTAAGAGATTTCTAGAACATTTTCTAAAGAACCTGTAAAATGTTTCACTTAAGGACATAAAATATATTTTTTCGAGCTTTTATTTACTTGTTTTCTTTGTTAGATGGTATTTAAAATAAAAAATAAAATAAACAATAATATTATTGACAAAACAAATAAAAAAATACTATTTACTTAAAAAATTTACTTTTTCTTCTTCCGAATTGATTATTTTATTGTTTTTCTTAATTGTGTTTTCTCACTTATAACTTAGGTTTAACAACATTCACTTAACCTAAGATAATAAGTAACGTGACTGATTACTGAAAAAGACAAAATATAGGTTAAACTAGGTTTAAACAAAGAACATAGATTATCTTTATCAGATAAACCCGTCCTAAATGTAATATATTTTTAAATTATTGTAATCAGTTTAGGAGTTATGATGTTAATAATGTTAACTTGTGGGTTAATAATTTCCCATCGGTGGTGATAGAGGATATATATAACTTTGTCATTCCGTGTGTAACACCAAGAAATATTCATCTGAGACCCAACAAAGTATATATATTTTTGATCCTTATGAAATTCTGATTCGATAGCTATGTCCGTCTATCCGACTGTGTAAAACCCGTTAAAACGAAGCAATGGAAATTCATGAAATTTACCCAAAACATTCATTATTATCCGGTACAGTTTGGTATTGAAAATCAGCAAAATTGGTCCAATAGGTTGAGTATGAGTAAAAATTTCAGACAATCTCTATAAAAATCTTGCTTTTTTAACTGGTTTTTTGTATTTTTTACAAAAACTACTGTAGATAAATTAATGAATTTTGGAAGATATATGGCTTGATATACAAGGATCAACTATGTGGAAAATTTTTTATACCAACCATCAAATAGGTCTAAAGTACGATTTCCACTGCTAACGTGCTAACGTACACACAGAAAATAATATAGTACTTTTATATGACAAACATTAGTTATTGAAGGGAAAAGTAAAGCAGTGGTGTTGTGGGAACAGTGGAATGAGGAGTGGAGCATAAGTAGTTCGAATCTAGGTCAACTCAATATTTTTATTAAAAATATATAAATGGTTGAAGAACCAAAATTAATTTTCGCAAAATTTATAAGTACTATTGTATTTCCTCTTCAAAAAATCAGATTTCTGAAAGGAAATCTTCTGTATCTTTTCAAAATTCCATCACCATCACTGGAGCAGGTTTGTTATTCTGGGTGTAACATTGAAAAATATTAATATTAGATCCAACTAGGTATAGACATATGAATATTGTGGGTCCTTATGAAATTTTGGGCCAAATCAGAAATCGCACTTCCTTCAATTTGGAAAATAGTTACTACCCAGCAAAAATAAAACGAAGTTCCAAAAGAATTAAATTTTTCTGTCGAAGTGATGTTAAATGACTTTC